TTTTCTTTAAAAATGTTTTGGGTCGCTAATTAACGTATCCGCCCTACTCCTTTTAACGATCTTACATGACTTTACAATGAGTCTTTCCATGTAAAAATTTCGAGATCTTTTTGCAGAAATTGCACAAGATTCTGGTCTGTTGTTTTGCAAAAACCCGTAGTAACATTTCCTTGTCTCACGTAACATCACACGCATGAGTTCTCTTCTACGTTCTTTTGCATAAAGAAAACGTTTTGCGATAAAATGCAAGAAAGGATCATCGTTTATCATGCATACAATATTACTCGTGTGGTTACTTTAAAGTTTCATGCGATGTTCTGCAAACAGTACCACGAGTAGGTCCATCGAACCCGCCCATAGCCAACGCGCGCGGCTAGACCGCTGATCAAGAATATTTTTGTAAAAACGCACGCACCTTTCAACGCACGCAAGTTCAACTTTTAGAGAAACTACTCATTGTGGGCTTAAGTTTGTGTGTGTCCTATCCATGTACCCCGTGCTTTCACCACGACTTCCGCTGTTTTGTGAGTGTTTTGGCGTTCGCACAAAGGGAAACTAGGGAACTGTTTATGTCTAGTCTTGTAGAGAAACATTTTACAGGGTAAAAATACAGCGCAAGAAAACGCATATAAGAATCATGCGTTTTTTGGTTGTTACGTTAGCGTGGCCAAAAAATGTACATTTCTGTAGAAATCGGTAAAAATGTTTCAAATGGGTTCTTTGATACTGAGTCGACTTTTCAGCAGCATCAGAAAATTATCTAGTATCACTCGATTCTAGAGTAGTAAATATTTACTCGATTGCAACTATTTAGTACCAACGGTGATTTCTCCTCATTTGCAACTACGAAATGTATCTAGATTTTGTCCAGGTGATTTTTGCTTGGGTTGACATGAAATAAATATTAGGACACTTTTTTTCTCTAGGATTTTTGTCATTTCTCAAATATCAACTGACTTGCCAAATATATCATTTCGCAGAACAAAGTCTCAGCTTTCTAGTGAAAAAATAATAATTCAGGAAAATATTCTTTACAGATCAAAGCATTGAAAATTACTAATACCACCATAACATAATAATTTTGGTATTTACATAGTACTTCGTTATGTAATATACAGCAGGAAATTCTGTATCTTTTGAGCCTGAAATGGAGTCTTAAATCTATGCCTCAGTGCCCACAAACTTCAAAACAAAAGTGTGCGTAAATGTGTCATTTATGGGTCATTTTTCATGGCCCGAGTATCTCTCCTTTGCATAGTTCATGACCTCTTGTCTCGCTCCAGTGATTTTTTAGCGTTCATTGTACATTTGCTTTCTCAATTCTTGCTCTCGCTTTCGACACGGTTTACTGCTTCTATCTATTTTCACATTTGTACAGTCACATTATGTTCAGTTTGGGTTAGAAATAAACTCAGAAATGGTCACTTTCCGTTACAAGGTTGAAATCCAATGATGTGCTGGTTGTCGACAGAAGTTTCCGTGATGTTCTTGATCTGATTAAAAGATTCAAATATCAGGTCTGTCTGCATGCCAACATTTTTGTCCAAAGGACAGAAAAAATTCATTCATTTCAACCCTTGAGGCGAACATGAGTCGTTTGGTAACAGTCATAAGACGGATAGTAGAGGCCGACGTGAATGGTCGAATTAAGCAATTTTTATTTTTTAACAAAGTTATTCAAAAGAGTAGTTTAAAAATGTTCATGTTTATCTCACTACTATTGTTTGTGCTCCGATTAATGCCTATCGGCCATTGTTTATTCAAAATATGACAAGCAGATTCTATACAAGATTTAGAAGCAATTACATTGGGACTTTTTCAGCTCAAACAGGCTAGAACATATAACGGACGAAGGAAAATATGAGTTTTTAGTGTCAAGCGAAACAAAAAAATTTACTTAAAAGCTGATATCCATTCGAAGCATAGTAATCAAAAAAGTTATTATACTCTGATTGAATACAATGACAAAAACCATCTTAGAATGATGTTCTGCTGCCAATCGTACTGTGGGATGCGACTCACATGTCTTTTTAAAATCGATGAGATTGCTCTGATCTTAGCTCAAATCCTACAGATGAGGCCACAATATATTCACTAGCCTAAACGTGACGAGTACTGTACAGGATTGGATTGTAACTGTACTTGCTATTTCCAATACTACTTCCAAGAACCCCGTTCAGTTTGTTTCCATGGTAAACAGCTAAAAGTACACCTCCGTGGATCTCCCTCCATGATTGGATTGAGTAACCCATTGGAGAGTATGCCACAGGGCTCAAATTAACAAAAACAATTTAAAATTAATCTGTAAAAAAGAACAAAAAATAGTTTGCGTTCGGATGTAGATTATGTGTTCGTTTGTTTCCGATTTGATTTTGTTGCCTGTTTTTTTCTGTTTCTATCTCATCTTCAATTTGTCGTTTGTTTTTGATTTTTTTCTGTGTACGCAATTAATTTTTGTTTGTAACTGATGAATTTTTTGCGCAGGCTTTTAGTTATCTTCCTCTCCAACTTTTTTAGTGTTTGAATAGTTATTTCACTCACTGTAAATGGGAGCTAGTCCTTCTGACGCCAATACAGACACATGTAAAAACTAGGTTGACTCTCGATGCATCTTGTGAGATTTAAAAGAACTTTCACAAGCATCTAGGTATAGCATTGTGTTATATTATATAAGTTATATATAGCACGCGAATCGACAAAACAAATTGATAAATTTATTGGCAATGAATCTTGTCATTTCAGACATGAATCTTTTGTGGAAAAAGATAAAAAATCAATAAAAAATTAAAGGAAGAATCTTGTCTGATTTATCAAGACAAATTAAAGATTCTTGACTGAAATGACAAGAGACAAGAGTCTTACAAGAAATAGATCAAGAAACTCGACTAGTGACTATAATTTTCTCTTTTCTCATTTGTGTGAAGAAAAATGTGACAAAAATGTGGCAAATATGTGAAGTAAACGTCGATAGAGGTATATTTCAGATATATGTATTTCTTTATTCGAATGCTAGAAGCCTGTTATTAATCAAGCAGGAAAGTAAGTTACTATTATGTTTTCTTTTCCTGCTGGTGTGTATTCAAAGTTCTTCGCTGTATTATAATATCCGACTAAAAAAACGAATAATCAAGGATATCTTTCGAATGACTTATCTTGCTCTCCATCGTTTCCGTTTTCAAATAAGGTAACTATAGATGTATTAGAAAGGCTTTGGACATTTCTTCCTTCTAATGGAGAAACAAGAACGTTGGTGTGTTTTTATCCGTGAGAAAATAAATAACGAAGAAATAAAAATGGCTTTCTTTCGAAACCTAATTGTCTGAGCCGATGTTGAGGCTGTTTCTTTTATTTCTTTGATAAATCTTGAAGTCAAACTGTGTGATTCAAGAACAAAAGCCAGCAAGTGGTACTGGAATGAAAAACTGTTGTTTCTTTACCGAGTAACAATGAAGTGGTATCTTTTATTTACAAAAGTAAAGATCAAAGATATGATCTATATCTTTTGGAACGGTAAACTGGCAAAATTTTCACACGTGTACAATGACATTATAGGGAGTTGGATTAGTAAATAAACTCGAGAAGGTTCAATTCCCTTTACAGTAGTTTTTGTACAAAAAATCTTAGGTAAAGCAAAAGTTTCATCTGGTCTACCTTGTAGTTCAACAAACAATGACATGTACAACACTTAAAGTTCATTTTAAACAAACCGGTGAAAGTATAGATGTACCAGTGGGGTTAGGATCAACAATGAAAGATATTATTTACTATGTTTGTACACAGAGTGCACTCAGTACAAAGATTGCACACAATGACTATTATCTCGTTTTGTTAAACACTTCCGAAATGCTGGATGATGCCAAGACAGTAGAGGAGACCAAGGTTCTTGCACTAGAGAATCCTCAATTTCAGTTGTGCATGAAAACAGCAATACGTGAGCAAATAATGGCTCTTGCTCGCCGGAATCTATTCGCAGGTCAAACAGGAGGAGCATTCAAAGCACAAGCACTAGCTGATGTTACTCGATCACTAGTAACAACAAAAAATAATGAAAAGGTAAGTGTCAACAAAGTTTCAAGGTTCACCTTTTTGCCTGTGCTCTTTTAAGTATTCTTTATCGATCTATAGTGCTGAAAACATGTAATTTTTTTGTATTTCAAGCCGTCAAACAATTTCTCAAATGAACCACCACCAAATCTACGTGCAAAACTTGGCAACGTACCAAGACAAGCACCAGTAGTACCTCCGAAGCCTTCTAATCAGCCTCAAAGCAGTGCAAGCAGACAATTGCCAATCAGCGTACCACCTACTACTTCATCTCAAATATTCTCCAGCACTTCTTCGCTCAAAGATAAATCCCATATCACAAATGAGAAACTGAAATTCCCCGATAAAACTCCAAAATCTGTTTCAACAGCTACGAACCTAGAATCGAACATTTCAAATCCAAGTCTAGTATCTTCTCCACGTGTGCAACCTTCACAGCCAGCAGGACTTTTTTCTGCACCAAAAACAGTACCAAGTGACGACGTTCAAAATTTGTCTCTTGCAGACAAATTGGCTAATACGTATCAACAAGTGACATCACAGATCGAAGATGTTAGTGCGGCTGTCACTCGTGACCCTGTTATACGTCGAGACGTTTCTACAATGTTCAGCGAATTCAATATTATCTTATGTGGTTCACCACGAGTTGGAAAGAGTACTCTGATCAATGCCATATGTCAACAGCCGCTGGCTAAAACAAGCGCAGGACTTGATGCCTGTACGAAAATGATCTCTCGTTACGTTCTTACAGGTAGTCGCGAAATTGACTCTGAAATAATCAACTATCGGTACAACTTTTGGGATACTCCAGGATTCGAAAGTTGGACTGAAAAAGATATTCGCACAAATTTAGAGGCAATTCTAAAAAAACCAAAATCAGATATACTGTGCATGATTTATTGTGCGTCGCCGGGTAGCCACGCAAACCTTCAACAGCTAAAATGGCTACTAGATGAATGCATGAAGAAACAAATATTTTGTGCTCTTGTGTGTACGAATAAATGGGGTGGACACAAAACACAACGAGATGCTGTCATGCACGATTTTCAAGGGTTACTGGCGAACTACCACGTCAAAACTCGAGAAGAAAATGGTGTCATCTTCTTCGGTAATATGGGATTGTGTACAACGGTGAATAGCCAGAGGTATGAGGATGAAGATGCAGGCAAAACGTTTGAGCAGTCCGGTGTTGATGAACTCATTTTTGGTATTATGGAATCTCTCGACGACGAAAAAGTTTTACAGTGGTGTATGGTAGTGTTCGAGAACAAACCATTTTGGAAGAATGCGTTTAATTTGCCGGGAAAATTGAAAGCATTCTGGAATAAAATGGTCAACCGAGCGAGAATGACGGGCACAACATCGAGAAAAAGTCGAAATAATAAAGATTGAGAGAATAACTGAAACTTCAGCCTGAATTCTCTGCAAACGTGTTTTGTTTTTATTTGTTTTTTATTGTTATTTTTATTGATTTATTCCTATATTGCAAAAGTGGTTACTTCATTGTAAAACACAGATTTTTAAATATGTTTGGCTTCATGACACCAGAGTAGATCTGACTTCAGAAAAAGAAATTTCATAAGAAGCACTGGTATAGTTTCTCGCTCCTTGACGCCTGATCGGATCAAGTCTCAGATAATCTTTATAAGTGCAACTTTATATGTCATCTTTTTTTGTCCCACCCTCTCTTTTCTACCTATGTTACGGGCGTTATGGGGACAGTATCCTCAGCCGAAGTACTGATCTGATAAGGTGCATTAAGGGTACCCCTCCCCTCTTTTTGGACCTTCCGTAAAAATGCTTTGAACTAAAAACTAAAAGTCGCTAGAGCTTCGTATTTTCAGAACTGATTGGAAATTCAATGAAGCACTTTTTCGTTTTTGTTTCAAGCTTTCAACTATTGCCCTTCTCCAGTTTTTCGGAAACGCGGTTTTTCATTGTGCCACATCGCCACTCCCCCTTAAATTTCATCCGACTGAGCTCGAAATTTTACCAGAGGTACTCAAGATCATTCCACAGAGGTAACTTTTCGGAAATTTTTTTGAAACTTTTCCTGGTCGAGTTATGGGAAAAGTACTGAAAAACATCTCAAAAACCAAGTTTTGCAATTTTAGAAACTCTATATGTCGGTAAAGAAAAGTCTAAAATAAAATTCCAGAAAATTACCTCTGCAATAGTGTCTTGAGTACCTCTGGTAAAATTTTGAACTCGATCGGATGAAATTTAAGTGAGGTCGTAATTTGACACAATGAAGCCTGATAGCACAAAAATAGTTTTCGAGAAAAAACGCGTTTTGTACATGGGTCACTTTTTTCAGAGCATTTGCTGCGATGCTTATATCTCCGCGAAACCTCATCGGAAAATTCTGTAAAACGTCTCATTGTGAAGCAAACACTTTCTTCTATTAGACTATGGGTAAGAAAAATTTTGAATGTACAAAAAATAGGAGAAAAGTTTATGAAACTAAAAAATTGAGCTGTTTAGATTTTGAAGGAAAAACTTCAAAAATCCATAACTTTTCGTTAAAAGAGCATGGAGTACTGGAAGTGGTCTCATTTTGTAGCCCACGCTTTCCTCTACATTAGGCTATGCTAAGCTTAAAATCCGAAATTTTTACGAAAAAGAGGGGTGGGAATGATTTAATAAAATAATTGATTTCTTTTTAGAAAACGACACGAAAAATAGATCTGGGGTGTTCAGCAGTTGAATTTGACGAATCTTGACGTTCAAGTAGTCAAGAAGTCTGTCAATGTGTTTTTTCTGTATATTGCAGTATGACCTTGGGATTTTTTCGTATTATTCCGACGCAAAACATGGCTTTGAATCATAGAAGCAATAACGTATTTCAGTTATTATTATTAATAACCCAAAGTAAAATGAAAATTCAGCATATCCTCATCCGCACAAAAATATACAATAACCCCTCAGTCTTCTCCAGTTAAAAATAAATCACTGAGACTAATGCATAAACAGTTTATCACGTTCGTTATACAAGCGTCACGAAATAACAGTCTTCCAACATTTTTCCACTTCTCTCAAAAATAAAGAAGTTAAACTTCTTTTTCTTCTTTTTATCATTTTCTACAGAAGTTCGAATTATTTTACAAAACGTTCAATACCGCTCATAAAAAGCATTACAACACATCTGTTGCTAAAAAGAAAACTTTCCGAAAGTTTTTTTCATGGATGTAGTTCCAGTTCTACAAATTCGTTGTAATACCTTTGAAAATGAACTCAGACGTGAGAGATAGGCGAATATTTTATTTCCTCATTGAAATTCCTTTACTGTCGTCTAACGAGGGAACCTTTCGAGGTGACTAAAAGCTTTTTGATCGACATCTAGTGGGTTATAGGTTATCGACCATGCTGATTCCGAATATGATCATGGGACTGGCCCATAGCTCTTCGAAGATCCGGTCTTCTGGAA